GTGGGGGCCCCAAAAACTGGACGCAATACTCCAGATGTGGCCTCACCAGTGCCGAATAGAGGGGAATAATCACTTCCCTCGATCAATGGCAATGCTCCTACTAATGCAGCCCAATAAGCCGTTGGCCTTCTTGGCAACAAGGCACACTGTTGACTCATATCCAACTTCACGTCCACTGTAATCCCCAGGTCCTTTTCTGCAGAACTGCTACTTAGGGCTGGTCCACACGAACCCCCCAGTTCGAACTAAGATACGCAACTTCAGCTACGTGAATAACATAGCTGAAGTCGAAGTACCTTAGTTCGAACTACAAGGTACTTACCGCGGGTCCACACGCGGCAGGCAGGCTCCCCCGTCGACTCCGTGTACTCCTCTCGCAGAGCAGGAGTATCGGCATCGACGGTGAGCACTTCCGGGATCGATTTATCGCGTCTAGACAAGATGTGATAAATCGATCCCAGAAGATCGATTGCTTACCGCCGAACCCGGTGGTAAGTATAGACGTACCCTTAGCCAGTCAGTCCCCAGCCTGTAGCACTGCATGGGATTCTTCCTTCCTAAGTGCAGGACTCTGCACTTGTCCTTGTTGAACCTCATAAGATTTCGTTTGGCCCAATCCTCCAATTTGTCTAGGTCACTCTGGACCTTATCCCTAACCTCCAGCATATCTACCTCTCCCACCAGCTTAGGGTCATCCGCGAACTTGCAGAGGGTGCAATTCATCCCATCATCCAGATCATTAATGAAAATTTTGAACAAAACCGGCACCAGGACCGACCCCTGGGGCATGCCGCTTGATACTGGCTGCCAACTAGACATCAAGCCGTTGATCACTACCCGTTGAGCCCAACGATCTAGCCAGCTTTCTATCCACCTTACAGTCCATTCATCCAGTCCATACTTTTTTAACTTGCTGGCAAGAATACTGTGGGAGACCGTATCAAAAGCTATGCTAAATTCAAGGTATATCACGTCCACCGCTTTCTCCATATCCACAGAGCCAGTTATCTCATTATAGAAGGCAGTCAGGTTGGTCAGGCATGACTTGCCCTTGGTGAATCCATGCTGACTGTTCCTGATCACTTTCCTCTCCTCCAAGTGCTTCAAAATGGATTCCCTGAGGAGCTGCTCTGTGATTTTTCCGGGGACTGAGGTGAGGCTGACTGGTCTGTAGTTCCCCAAATTATCCTCCTCCTCTTTTTTAAAGATGGGCACTATATTTGCCTTTTTCCAATTGTCCAGGACCTCCCCCGATCATAGGGTGACCAGATATCCCGATTTTATAGGGACAGTCCTGATTTTTGGGTCTTTTTCTTATATAGGTTCCTATTACCCCCAACCCCGCCCCGATTTTTGACACTTGCTATCTGGTCACCCTACCTGATTGCCACGAGTTTTCAAAGATAATGGCCAGCGGCCACTAGTTGATGTCAGGAGGGGAAATTAATGTGGAGAACAGAAATCAGTGCAGCAGACAATGCAAAAGAAACACAAAACATGAAAAAAGGGGAGACTGTTCTGGGTAGCATTAGGAAAGTCTGTACTCTTGAAAGTGCTTTAAATACTGATGCATTGTTACCCTCTCTTCCAGCCCCTTGAAACAAATCAAATCACTCTCAGGGTTCTGTTGAGTCATCTTGTATCTGCATTGCAACTTTAGGAACACCTAAAATGAACTAAGAAAACCCTTCACAAAAATCTTTTCTCTGTGCTTAAACTGGAGTTTTCTCTGGTCAGCTTATCTCTTTACATCATGACAAGCGTTGCTGTTGTGTCTCTTTTATGTTAGTAGCTTATGTCTGGCAGGCTGCAGGGAGAGTGTCAGCGGGCTAGCCCAAACCAGTGTTAGGACCACGAGAACTGAACTACACCAGTAAGCCTTTCAGGGCCAGCTCTCAGTGTGTTGGTGCCTTAGGCGGAGAAGAAAAGAGAGGATGTTTCTTCTGGGTCAAGAGAGCAAAATATCCCAGCAGTGTGTGAATTTCAGAATCCGACTACTGCACCATAAACACCATCTGTGGTGAACTCTGGAACACGGGCTGTCATGCAGGCCATGGAGTGAAAGCAATGAAATGTCACCTTGTGACTGTGTCTTTCTTGTTTCATTCCCCCCCTTCCTTCTCTGTATTCTCGCTACCTCTTTTGTCTCCCCCAGTTTCATTCTTTTTCTCTGACCTCCACTCATTGCGTCCTCATGTGCTGTTTCCCATTCTGCCCTCCTCTTTGGCTCTTCCAGCCAGCCACCTTTTTCTTTCATTCCTTTGTACTCCCAGGAATGAGTCCAAACACATATTCTCATTCCTGGTGACTGTCGGCTGAGCAGACTTGCATTAGTGACTCTGAGTGCCAGACAATGCTCTGGTGCCATCCGGATGCCAAGCTGTAGGTGGAGACCTGGTTTGTTAGCAGTTAGTCTCTTACCTTCTTTCCATTCCTTCTTCCCATAAGTGGTGGGGGCAATGTGGGACAAGCGACAGTGTCGTTGGTGTGCTGTGCGCGTCACGTGAGCCGCCGATACAAAGCTCTGGAGAGGTAACTGGCACCTTCTCTGGGTAGAGCTCCTCATGCAGCTTTTCCAAGAGGCACTGAAAATTAAAGGCAGAGCCCCGGCTGCCAGGGAACGGCTGCGGGAGGGAGGGAGGGAGAGAAGTGGTGCCCAGAGATGTGCCCTTGGAGGCGAGGAAGAGTCAGGGTGTGACATGGGGGCAGCAGGAATGGTGTGTCAGGAATTGAGCTTCGCAGGCTAAGGCAGCACGCTATTCTCTGTTTGTAGTGTAAAAATCTTTCGGGGGACTCGAGGCTGTCAGCTTGAAACTAGCCCAACATTGCGATTTTTGTTGAAACCAGCTTTTGTACCCTGAGCGTGACTGAAAGGTTTCCATGGCGCTTTTAAAGTGTTGTCCAGTGGAAATAGCAAAACTCTTCCCTCTGCAGCCTGCACTGAGAGCCTGGAAATGACCTGGACCTTGCTGGCTTTCATCATCTGAGATGAGAGAGGGGCCGGAACGAATCAAACCGCCTGAGTAGTGAGAAGGGAATTGGCTGGTTGGGATTCACTCACCGTTAACCATTTACAGGCCAGTTTGGAGCTAGGGCTCGGCCATGCCTGAGAAGGAGTCTGATGTGTGTTGTTCATTCATTTCAAACTGGTTTTTACATCCTTAAAACCTTCCTTTTGAGAATTCTCAGGGCCCAAAAATTGTTTGTGATCAACCTCCTGTTACTGGAACAGTGCGCTGTGTTCGGTCATTTGGACCTGTGAGGGGAAGAGAGGGAGGAAGAGAGCGCCAGTCAGGCAATCACACATGCATTCACCATGTGTTTGAGAGCACAGTCGCACACACCAAAGGGGGGGGCACTGGACTGGGACTCAGGAGACCTAGGTTCCCAGGTCCACCGCTGACCTGTTGGGTGACCTTGGACAAGTCATTCCCCGTCTTTGGCTCTCCTGTTTCTTTTCCCATCCTTTGTGTTGTCTAGTTAGACAAGCTCCTTGGGGAAGTGCCCAATTGAATGCAGCCTTGATCTTGCTTGGGGCTGGTAGGCTCCTCCATGATACCAATAATAACACCATCACCCAGCAGCGCAGGTGGGCATGGAAGCCGTCCAGGATGTATGAACGCTGTGTCACTTCTGTAGAGGAAACCAAGGCTCTGTACTTGGTCCTGGCCCCAAAGATCCCCTACCCCACCCCGGCATGGCAGCATCAGCAGCTCCCTGATTTTCCAGGCGAATAGAAGCAGCTGGTTGCTTTGGGGCTGCTCTCAGCATGACCAGGCTACAGGGGACCCCGAGTGGATGGATGCTCTGACAGTTCAGCCTTCCCATGCAGCAGGCTGTGCTGGGAATGGCTGTGATGGGTGGGGATGACATGGGGGAGGTGTGATACTAAGACACAGGAGCATTGTAAAGATTACACTGTAGAAGTGTATAAACAGTGAGGGGGTTTAGTCATTGGAACACACTCTCGAGGGACGTGGTGGCTTCTCCCTCTCCTCCTGTCTTCGAGACCAGGTGCCTTTCTGTTCTGGAAGGTGCTTTAGTCAGACCCACGTTATTGGGCTCAATACAGGGGTAACTGGGTGAAATGTAAAGGCTTGTGTTACACAGGGCTCAGACGAGAGGATCTAGTTGGCCCTTGTGACTTTACACTCCGTGAATCCATGAACAGGGAGGTGTGTCCAAAGAGTGGCCCGTAGTATGTTGCAGACAGTGGTGTTTTCTGCAAGATCCAGCCCGTATATCCAGAGGCGATACCGTGCTGCTAGGGTGTGGGAAGGAATGGTTGGAAAGCAGAGGAGCTCGGATTTGAGTTTGGCCCTGGGAGCATGACAGGGTGAGGCCACGTGGAATGATGTTGGATCGAACTCCTTTGGCTCTGCTACCCTCCTGGGCCGGATTAGCTGCTGGGTGGAGTGCAAAGTTTTCATTTTGACCTACAAAAGCCTTACTGACCCTTAGGGCAGTGTTTCCCAAAGATGGGGCCTGACAAGGGTCTACATGGGTTGTCTGTCATTTCCCGGGCCCCTATGTGTGCCCCAGAAGCTCTCCCACCTCCCTCCCTGTTCTCACGTCTCTGGGCTGGGGCAGCAGGCAGCAGTGTGGGGAGCAGCATTCAGGCAGGAGCAGCATGAAGGAAGTGGCTGGAGCCAGTGAGTGGGCAGTCAGCTTCCTGGAAGCAGGAGGGTGCAGGACTGGGAGAGCCAAGCAGGGGGCTTGGGATGGAGCTGGGGAGGGGAGGGAAAGGGAGAGGGGTCAGGGAGGTGGAGTTAATACAAATTCAATATTGCTGTTGCACAGTTACAGGATTTTTTAAAAAGTAGCCGTTTCTGTCTGTGTGTGGGTACATACAGTGTGTGCGTAATGTCTGTCCTTCTCAAAGGCTCTGTAGGCCCAGTCTAGGAGCCAGTGGCGAGTCTTCTCCATTGACTGCAATGGACAGCCTTTGTGCATCATCAAGTAATAGAAATGCTTTAAACAGTCAGCAGTATTCTGTACCGTGCTGCACTGTGTATTGCATCCGTCCATATCCTCCCCGTACTGCTACCAATCCATCCATCTATCCATTGTCAACTGACCTTGGCCCCCTGCAGATCAAAGCCCTCTTTGGCATGGCATGTCTTTATCATGTTAAAATATTTAGCAGGAAACTTGCCGTGCCTGGCCAGTGAGGTTTGGCAAGAAAGGCCCCGTTCCTCCCCAAGGCTGCACCCTCAGGGACTGCACCCCTGAGAGCGTCACGCACCGATGCAGCGATTTAGAGTTTTCTCAACATGGGACAGAGGCCAGTTCACAAACTCTTCTGAGTGACCGAATTAACACTGAAATGGATTCTTCTCCCTCCACAGAGGCTCAACACGCAGAGGTTCCCCACTAGTGGCAGTACTGCCAAGCCTGCAGCTGTAGCAGGCTGCCACGGATAGCTTGAAATGTCCAATGCTCATGCACCGGGATGTGAAGTACAAGCTGCTTTAGGTCGACTGAGAGCTAGTTGGGAATTTGGGATGTCTGCTCCTTTTTATCACAGCCAGATCTTGAGGGGAGGGGAAAGCATGCAAGATGCCCCATGTCATAGGGAACTTCCACCCAGTATTCCCATGAGCCCCCACAAAAGTACACTAGTTTTGGATACAAGACTTGTTACCTACCCAAGTGCTTCCTCCAACTGTAATTTAACTCTACTCCCGCTTTATGGGGGGAGGGATAGCTCCGTGGTTTGACCATTGGCCTGCTAAACCCAGGGTTGTGAGTTCAATCCTTGAGGGGGCCACTTAGGGATGTGGGGCAAAATCAGTACTTGGTCCTGCTAGTGAAGGCAGGGGGCTGGACTCGATGACCTTTCAAGGTCCCTTCCAGTTCTAGGAGATGGGATGGAATATTCCCTGAGCCCGAGAGGCCTAGGAGTTTGGAGAAAGAGTTGGAGGAAGATGCACACTGAATCTTGGGGTTTGCAGCCAGGGTCTCCCAGTCAAAAGGACTTGTAAGGGGCCCCAGGTTTTCTGGTGCTGGCACTGACCACTGTTGTCTAGCCCCATTACTGTATAGCTAGCATTACAGTGTATCTTCAAAAACTGCGAACATTTCAAAATAGGAATTCCTCAGACTTTGAAAGAACCAGCTCCTCAGTCCTGAGACAAAACACAGCGCTGTACAGGTAATGATTTCCTGACTCTGGAGGTGTGGTGTAGGAGTAAGGATAAAGGAACTGAAGAGGATGCAACAAGGTCTCTGCCAGTCTCAATGTTTAAATCTCTTTCTTTTTTGCAGAAACCGCAAGTCCCCTGATTTCAAATCCTTTCCCGCTTTTACAAAGTAAGTGTGATGGATGTTTGTGGTGCTGTCTCCACCCAGCCTTGGTGGTTGTCCTGTCCTGTTAGCATTTTTCATGAATAATTGTTTTTTATTACTGGTCTGTGAGCCAAAATATAAAAAGCATCACTTCTGTCTGTGGCTCTTAAGGGTTTACATGAGAGAGACATGAACCAGTGTCGTAAGGGGACAGTCAGTGGCTGCTGTGTCGTTTTGGATCACTTCCAACCTTTGAGTGTCAGGTTTTATCAAACACGGCAAAGACACATGTTCTAATAGACCAAGGCTTGAAGTTTAAAAATGAACCCATTTTTGAGTTACATGGATATACCGGAAAATGTCTCTTAATGGCTCGGCACGTTGAGCTCTTAGTGATGTAAGAAAGGGCATTGTGCCACTGGCCGACTCTTTGGTAATGGGTCAGTATTTAATATACAGGGATTTGGGTTGCTCAGTTTTTAACCTTGACTCTTAGGAGTGGTGAAGCCGTATATTCCAGAATAGACACCAGCATTTCATCCACATGCATGATTAAGGTACATTCCATCATTCCTGCACCCCATGTGCACACACACAATCTTTTCCTTAGATTTTAGCATGCACTTGTCCAAGCATGCCCAAATTTTAAGGCGTTGGTGGCTAAGGAGCCTGCCTGGTCTCTCTGCTTGTCTGGAATGCTCTGGTTCAGTTGCAGATAAGTAAAACGAAAGACCTGGCATTTTTACATGGCCAGAATTTAGACCTACAGTCCTTCAAAACACAGTTTGTCTCATTTTTTCCACTTGATCTGAACTCTGCAACCAGAGAGAGAACGAAATAGAGGGTTGACCCTTGAGAGGATTGTGTTGTCCTATGGTGATCCATCATCCATATCTCGTTGGGATTATGTGGAATAGCAGATAGCAAGCAATTGGGCTACTATTTAGCTGAGCCTGTCTTTGGGACCTACAAAGCCTCTCTGATTTTGGAGGGTCTATTAGTCGGCAAAAACTAGTTTTCATTTTAAAAGCTTTAAGCAGCTGAGCTATATTTGAATGTGCAGGCAGCTTGCTAGGGCTGGACATTTGTTGTGGTAACGTTTCCCTAAGAGCCACAGGACATTCTCTCTGTTTCACTCTCTCTCTCACTCCCAGTCACACAGGTGGAAGATGAGCACCGAGGATCATTTTAGGCTAATGCAGGCTGCTTCCTGGCCATCAGCTGAGGCAGCTCTTGTAGTGAGTTGCCAATGTGAATTCTGGCTATAAGGCTGGGGAGAGAAGGGCAGTGCATTGAGAGGTGGTGTGGTCTGGTGAACCGATCTCTCAAACTCATCCTTATTTTATTCTAAATGAGTAAGTAGCACAGGAGTGAGGAACGGAGAGATTTGAAGGAGAAGACTTTCGCACGAGTAGCAGGGCCAGCGAGGTCATTGCAAGCCTAAGGGGCAATGTACGAGGCAGTATTTGAAGGACCCAAAGGGAGCATGAAGATGAGTGGGGTTGGTGAGAACATGGCCCCGGCGGAGGAATAGCAAGAGGGGAGGAATGATTGGTAGACAGGACAGAGCTGGACCCAGGAAGGTGAGGTGGGGAGTTGGTATTAGAGGTGTATGGAGAAGCGAAGCAGGGGGAGGAATCAGAAGGTCAGCGCAGTGAGAGATGATTTTGATTCCACAGGGAGCAAAGATGCTAAATTGTTTCCCCCAGTTTCAGGCAGGGTAAGGGGCGAATGTTGATGCCTACCTCACTGCTTTGCAAAGGCTTGTGATCCGTCCCCCTGCAGATTGGCTGTATTTTCTAATCCCTTCACAGGCCGGGCGAGAGCCAGAGACCAGCAGCCAAATGGATGGGACAGACTGAGGATTATGAACAATTTCAATCTGAACTGACTCCAGAGGCTGATAGGAAAAGATTTTAAGGGGATTAAATGATTAAGGGGTTGATTTATATGGAGGTGGTGATGCAGCCGGGAGTTTACCTAGGCAAATGGAGCAAAGCTTGGGGTTTGTAACAGTGTCAGGATTTGTGTTCACATTTCCTTCAGATGTGGTTAGTGGATAAGTAGCCAAGAGACCTCCATGCCGCAGGGCAACTGGCTGATGAGTATGTGGGTATCAGGTCTAGTTAGCAGAGGAAACACAAGGGGAAATGGCCCATACATGGGACCCCAGAGTGGGTGTTCCCCAGATACGGGGAACAGGTAAAGCCACTCAGGGGAGAGGACTTACTGCAGCGAGGGAAAGGACACCTGAGAGGGGCCCCCGGGCGAGTGGGAAGAAGCGGTGCCATGTCTGTAACAGACTGGGTCACATGGCCTGGAATTGCCCAGTCTCTAACCACTAGTATAGTTAGTGTAGGTGACAAGTCCTCGTCCGTGCTGATCCACAGAGGATCTGAGTGGTCACAGACGCCAGCTATGGAGCCTTGGCCCATTAGCTGGTGCAGTAGCAGTTCATGCTTTTTAGCTCTGGAGGGTCCCCGTGTGTTGACCAAGAAAACGGCTGCTTCACACGTCCACTCAGGAGGACCATGGCTCCAGAGGGGCATCCTGCATCTCAAACCTGTGGAGTTAACTGTATGACTCCCCCTCAGGAGGGAGGGAGTTACACAGCCAACTCCTCTGGAGCATACGATGCAAGTTTAAGCCGCAGTCCAGCTCGGCTACATGGTCAAGCTCAGGGGCAGATGGAGACAAACGGCTCAGCTCACTCACAGGAGCTGCAGGCTGCCTTTGTAAATGGAAACGAGTAGTTGGGAGAATAAGGGGCTCTTCCCTCCCCCACCCCCCGCCCCGCCCAGGCAACAGAGATGGGAAGCTTAGAAGCCCTCCCAGGTGTCTGTGAGAATGCACATGGGCTTGGGTTGGTGGAGGGGAGAATTCTGCCCTATTCCCCACAGAGTGTGTGAACCAAGCTGGCTTCAGTGCAAGGACTCTGAGGCCAGCTGGAATGGCTAGGAAAGCAAGTCCGCTGCCGCCCCTTATCGTGGAAACTGGGGTGTCTCCACAGTAGAGCCTGACGCGCAACCATCCTGGAGATGGGGTAGAGCGAGGAACTGGTCTCTGGAGAGAGAACGAAGGATTGTCACTCAAAAGGGAAATGGTTTCCTCATACCCACGTAGCCTAGCATGGGGGACCAACACCCTGAGAAGGCATGCCAGAGCTGGGGGGCCCCACCTGACAATGGGGAACCAGAGCCCAGGAGTTACTGCTTGGTTAACACCAGCTTTGCGGGGGGGCCAGGCCTGTCTTGATCACAGGGGTGCTGCCTAGAAACCCTAGAGTAAAGCCATAGTGGCTGGCACTGTAGGGGATAAGGGCTTACTGCCTGCCTGATGCCCCAGCAGACAATCAGAGGAAAAAGTGGTAGGGTCAGGTCCCAGCTTCAACCCAGAAGTTCTGTGGTAATGGGGGCATGTGAGGGCGTGTGAAATCTTCCCATACTTACTGTGACAAAGTTCCTCCTGTATCTTGGCTGGTCCTGCTCTTATTGGCAGATTTTCTTGCCTCAGAGATTCACCATGTGGGTTGGAGAACAACCCAGACACCTTCCCCTCTGGAAGAACCCACAGTCCAGGTCAATTGGGAGGTTTGGGGGGAACCCGGGCCCACCCTCTACTCCTGGGTTCCAGCCCAGGGCCTGGTAGACTGCAGCTGTCTATAGTGCCTCCTGTAACAGCTGCATGACAGCTACAACTCCCTGGGCTACTTCCCCATGGCCTCCTCCAAACACCTTCCTTATTCTCACCACAGGACCTTCCTCCTGGTGTCTGATAACGCTTGTGCTCCAGCAGCACACCCTCTCACTCTCAGCTCCTTGCGCCTCTTGCTCCCAGCTCCTCACACTCACACCACAAACTGAAGTGAGCTCCTTTTAAAACCCAGGTGCCCTGATTAGGCTGCCTTAATTGATTCTAGCAGCTTCTTCTTAATTAGCTCCAGGTGTGCTAATTAGCCTGCCTGCCTTAACTGGTTCTAGCAGGTTCCTGATTACTCTAGTGCAGCCCCTGTTCTGGTC